AAATGATTATTCATGTGATCTAACACAAAACAAAACTTCCCAAACACAATGGAAACCTTTGGTGATGAAGAACGGCTGAACACGGTGTGACAGCAGAGTCCCTTTAAAAACAGACCATGCGAAGAGTATTTCGATCGAAATGGCGGGATCTTTTCCAAAGCGAATCGTCAGCCAGTCGTGCTCAGCCGATAACATGATTTTTGCAGAGACACGTACGCCAAACAACGAGCGCACGATGAAGCCCAGTCGGCCGTGACTACACACAAGACCAACCATCAACGACATTTTTGTCAGTTTCCGATCAATGTTCATGTTGACGTTTGCGGCGATCCCGCTTCGTTTAACATCGTGTAAATATGCAAGAAAAAAAAGGGAATCGTAATGTCACATTTCGCTCGCGACGTAAGCTGGCATCTTTGGAAAATGCCATGTTTATGTCGAAATATTTATGTACGTTGATAGCTCAGCCAACCGCGACATGCCTTACAGTATTCCCCATCAATGACATCACATCATCTCTATGAATTGTCTGCCAGTTACAATTTACCAGCATGGTGATGCATAGCTGGGGAATTATTACTGCTACTTTGAAATATATATATTCCAACTTTATGGCATTAACTGAGCGATAAATGGAACATGTGTCACACTCGGGGTGAAAATATGCGCAGGGTGAAGAAATCACAACGCACTGTTGTTGAAAACCAAAATTGTAACCAAAGACGACCGCACGCGGCCAGACAAAAACAGTCTCGTAACAATACTTTGTGAGCGCTTAACCTGTTCTTCTTTTTCGGGAAAACAGCGGAAAGTATCATACTCTAAACAGACGGTCACAGGACTGAAATCCATATCCTGCTGTGGATATTTTAGTTTTCTTTTTATATCACCCCGGCCGAAACGAATGCCTGTGAAAAGTGGAAAAAATAGATGGGAGAATCTTAAAGCTTATGGCATTCCAGTCACGAAACGAAATTGCTGCGGTATCAAATGACAAATATTAGAGACTTCAAAGACTTGGCAATTGTTTCGAAGAAGTAAAATAATTCAAGCGAATGGGTTAAGGGTAAGAAGGGGGAAATATAGGTAACGAAAGAAAAAGTCAGTAATGTATTAAGAACTGCGTAAAGGCCGGTTCATACTGGAGGCCAATATGAAAGCAATATTTGAAGCAAAATTTCGCTCGAGTTGAAATGTGTTCAATTTGGCGAATTCGCAGTGCAATCAATTTATTTGATCTGACGTCGCAAATTCGCGCTCGTGTTCGTTTCCGATCCAAGTATGACCCGGCCTCAAGATCATGATCTTTCAACGACTTTTCCAATGAAGAACACAGTACTATCTTAAAATGTTAGTGATGTAAGATAAGACCAGTTATTTTACAGAACTTCCATGTATTTCAGACAAGTTCGCGGGTACTGCAACTCGGCTAATTACTTCAGCTAAAGACATAAATTGGCCGAACCTCAACTAGCATGTTCTGCGTTTCAGCAGCAATTATCTGGCAGAGGAACCTTGTAAGCAAAGTGAAGCACGAGATGCAAGGTTTCACTCGCAATCCAAACCCGTGACTTCAATTTCGTAATAACTTGTTTCCATCGAAAAGTCATTGTTTGGTCATAACAAAAAGAACTGATGAAATTTTCGAAGTTGGTCCAGCTTTGTTCTTCCGTGCAAGGTTCTGCCAAACACAAAAACTCTGAAAATCTTTCCAAAAATGTTCAGACCTGAAGAAGGTTTAACACAGTGACTTGTAGCAACAGAGTGTGTTACAAACGTCTGCCCAGGAGTATGTTTGTGAACCTGCCCAAAAGATCTGAGTGCAGACAGAAAGCAGAAAATAAAACACATGTACCACATGACTGTGGACTATGCACATATAGGCTAGTTGACTACACTTGGTCGTTCATGTTTTTGTTTGTTTGTTTGTTGGGTTGTTTGTTGGTTTGTTGGGGTGTTGGGGTTGTTGGGGGGGTTGTTTGTTTGTTTGTTTGTTTGTTGGGGTGTTGTTTGTTTGTTTGTTTGTTTGTTGGGGTGTTTGTTTGTTTGTTTGTTTGTTTGTTTGTTGGGGTTGTTTGTTTGTTTGTTTGTTTGTTTGTTTGATTGATTGCTGCAGCATCCCGAGCCGACTCGGGAGGGGGAACATGGGCCATCGGGAACCGGGGACAAGTATAACGTCTTCACTTCTTTGCAATCAACCTCCTTAATGACCAACGGTGTCGCTTCCTCCCCTCGAGCTGATCTCATTACCAGCTCAGATTTCCCACAGAGGGATTGTACGCTTGTCAGACAAAAATCTGGGGCACAAGACAGAGGCCATCAGGAAAGCAGAAAGAGAAAAAAATTGAAAAGGATTTTTCCTTCTCCCGTTCTCCACCCTGAGAATAATTGACCTGTTTTAACCCTAGCTTAAATCAAACACACTCCTTCTGTTTACACAAGTACCACATTGAATAAAAAACGAGGGCAGGTTGAAAATGAGCAAACTTAATCTAACAGATCCACTACCACTCAACTCAAGTCATTAGAACTTCATCTGTCAGCCTAGATCAAGTGCAGGGCTCTATCACGACGTCCAAAGTGGGAAATGCCTCGGATTATTCATGAGCGACTTGTATAATTGCAAACCTCCACATCGGGGTTCGTAGCATACGACGAGCATGCAATAGTTTGACAGCGTAGGTGGGATACTCCTTGGTCAATTTTTCAAAACAAAGATCTCCGTTTTCAATATTTCAAGGTGCGACGGGAATGAATCTTCCAATCAGCGACGACCTAAGAAGGTGTCATTTGATTCGTGTGTCAAGAAACAGGCTAACGTCATAGGAGCTACGCTATTGGAACTTCGCTAATAATGCACAAACGACATACTTCATTTGTGAGAACATACATTTAAAGGGAGAAACAAACTGGCCTAGTAAAGACATTTTTGTCACAAGGTGCCAACATAAAGTAAATGGATATACCTTCCTATGTAATAAGACAGGAGGTATTAAAGCCAAAGACAGGAAGCAGTCGGGATTACGCCATCATGTATACGGGCCGCCTTCAGTACCTTATTGGAAGCTATTTTGGTGCCGAGAAACCAAAAAGAATAAAAAAAAACAGACTGGTCGCGTCGGTTAGACACACGTGAGGTGTAACAGCAGTATCGCTGGAGTGGAATTGATCTTCCTTAAAAATCTACTGAAAACGCGAGGATACCAATTCAAAATAAAAAAACTTGGATCTTTGGTATCACAAGATACCAAACTAAAATCGATGACTGGCCAGCAGATAAATGCATCACCATCAATCTGTCTTCTTAATAAGCAATCGGAAACGGTTTGTGGTTAGGTTTGCCAACAATCATGTCCTAATCTCCGTATACATACCCAAAGAACTGACTCAGAGCCAGCAAAGAGAAATTGAGGCATACATGTACATGATGAAAGATCATGTGGTACCCAGAGTTGCAGACTTAAGTCTCAGTGGGACCCGCGATGCCGGCTAGACCGTTCCGCTTTGTCGCCCCTGACCGTGGGCGTGATAGCCCCTCATGCCGTTACGGAAACCGGCTCCGAACTGCAACAGAATACGATGATGTACGTGGCTGCAATAACCGATAGAAAAATGATGCGACCGAGAACTTACCGCCCGCTTTCCTGTGGGAAATTCGGTAGTTTTTAGCAGAATGGAATATAAGACGGACGTCTGCGACCATACAGGGGTCGGCGCCTTCGCGTACAGTGAATGGTTGTACTATCGTTGTTGCACCAAAAACACAGTTGAACATAGGATATTGGCACGAATGCTAGAGGATTTAGCTAGTACTCAGCGGCTGTCTCGATGATTTGAAGGGTAAGGACATAAACCCTGCGAGATCTAATTCCAATCCACTTTGGTGCACAAGGTCCGGGAAATTCAACACGCATAAGGGTGTTTCAGGGTTTCTGGTTGGTTGAGAGGGGGCCTCGAACTGACGTTGGACAGGAAGGTGATGGTAAACTAAATGGGAATCCCAAAGATTGGAAATTCCTGGTTAAAACCTTCATAGCCCCGGACTGGATACCGAAGGGCAGATCCGGACCGTTTATTCAATTCATTTACTTTTCTCGGCAACTGGATCTACAAACCAGCACAATAAATAATACGTATTTTAACTAAATACGTATTTTAACTGCACATTCGCAGAGTTCGCCAGACACCAACATCTATCCAATTCATGAGACGACTGAAGTGTACAGACATCAGAAATGACCCCAAAAGAGCAGCCGATAATCATGGTGATACATGTAAGAGTGACGGAACACCGAAGCCCGCCGGTCAGTAGCCAGCTTGCTTGCAAGGCCCTTCAATTCGTATTTGTGGGAGGTCCCACATGATTTTGATTTTGAAGAGATAACAATGATGATAATAATAAAGCTGTGCAGTGCCGTTACATGAAGCCAGGCCTATGTTTTCATTCCAAAACAAACAAACAAACAAACACGCAATAAATGCATGTTCAATGCTAATCGCTACATCAAAATGTACATACTGTTTGGCGATTAATCCTTCAGTAGGGATATTTACGTCTGTCAGTGACTAGTGCTAAAGACCTGCCGACATTTTCCCCAGTTTAGATCCGTAATGCAACGTAACCATCCTTGCACAGACTGGGTTATTGTTCAATCGTCGCTCAGTACGTATCGGTAGTGAATTCTGTACTATAGCGAATGAAAATAACTGACCTCATTGTATGCCACAGAGTAGAATGTTAAAAGGGCACAGCAGAGCCTGAAAGACACGATGCAGATTGAGGACATGCGTACAAGTCAGAAAAAAGCAAGAAAAATGAACTAAACCTCAATCATAACAACAAACAGAACACACTGAGACAACTTGAAAGTGGGACATGACAGACTGTGCGCATGACTCAACTTGCATTCTTTCCAATGAACCACCACGACGCCAACACAGAACGAAGGACCAACTACAAGACAAGACGGCATCGGCACTCGAGCTCAAGCCATGCTTACCTTTCGAAACTCCAGGCAGGGAGACATTTTCGTACATCAAAGTGCATTCCTTTTTTTTAGCTTTTATAAACTCCCCTACATCATCCTCGCCCATCCCATCGTCCTGGCCTTCAGCTCCCGGTACGGCTAGGTTGAACGCCATGAAATACACCAAGACGTACACACGGAGACGTGTCTGTAGAAAAAAAGGGAAATTTTCCACTAAGTAGGCTAAACTATATAAAAATCCAAAATGCAAACTTATAGCAAGATTTGCTTTACACATATTTCGTAGAAATTGACAAAAACATCTTTCCAAAGTTGTAAAAGTCCAAGCAATCTTAAAAAATTAAGGTAAGCATGAAATTGCTATGGACGATAGCTACAGCGATTAATGATGAGCAGTTCTCCAGAGACAAAAGAAAAGTTGTTGCATTTTGATGTTTCATCTGGTAAAAGATTAAAGCACTAAATAGAAGAGTGGTACTGGTCACGATTCTGCTTGCGGCTTGCAATCCGAAAATCACGAGTCAAATTTTACGATGGAAAGAATTGACTACTGGATAGCATTTGTTTGTCTGATATCTCCAAGAACAGATATTAAACTTCAGTACAACTAAGATTCAGCTAATTAAAGACATCATCCCTTAGTAAGCTTAAGCTTTACTTTAAACTCCTCGGTATTCAATTTTAAACGTCGTGTCGCCGCTAAGATAACTCATTGTTTATGGTTTACTAAAGAGCCAACTGAGTTGGACTATCTCAAAATAGAACAAAAAACATCAGACTGTCAGAGCAACCACTTACCTTCAACGAATATCATACAAAAGAAGTGCAACGGACCAGTAGCAATATTTCACTGGATATCACAAACACTTCCTTATGAGATAGCCCATCCTTCGCAGATAGTACGCGATTTGATAACCAACCTAATATATTCTACAAGGTCAAGGTCTATTTGTGTAGGCAAAAGCCACGGGACAACATGTCAGAATGCCTATCGGCTGCACAAGCTGGTAAGCAGGGACTGAGCGAAAGTATTAAGTAGCGTCTGGACTTTTTATTCGGTCGGGTATTATGTTCTCGCAGATGGGACAAATTACGCGGAGATATGGCCAGCTGAAACGAAGACTCACCTTCTATACTGGTCCTTGGTGCCCGCACGACCAGGGGATAAAAAGCTAACAAGCTAGTCACGTGATCTTCACGACGCTCATTTGCAATTCAATTGATGTACAGGGCACGCGGAGGGATACTGAAGCCAATGTCAGTGATGGTATAAGAATGACCAACGGCAACTGCATATTCTTGGAGCTTGTTATTTCACTGAAAAACAGTGTCAGCAAGAAACTTTCTCTGATTTCCCAGACACCGTCTATAATAAAACACTCTCAAAACATTTAGCCAGGCATTTGATAAAAACAACCTGCTACACATCGTGAAGTTATCTCGACGGCAGATTCAACATGTTTTCGAGTGCTCCTCAGTACCCTAGAGAAGAAAATGGGTGTCGCTATGGCAACCGTATTGTGTGCATTTTATCGCCAATGTTTAAAAAAAACAACCGAAGTGTACACCTATCTTGTGGTTTTATCACCAAGCCTCCGAGGGATATGGCCAAGCGAAGAAATCGCTCGACTCAGATCAATACAGCTGGGACCCCAGACCATAAAAGTTCAATCTCAAGGGGCATGACTGAAGAAAGTGGTGCCTTATCGATGTACTAGAGTGGAATGGTCCCGCCACGTCTTATTAAGAAATACATACATCGTTTCTAACCGTACAAGTAGCCTTTAATGTGAGAGCTGCCGGTTAGCAAGTCACTAATGGAAACGGGCAAGTGGTTGACCAAAGTTATCTGGAAGGACAGCATCAACCATTGCTATTCTGACTGCGTTATTGAGTACATGAGTGAATATGTCACACACACACAGCTATAAGTGTAAAAGGCATTAGCGACAAACCAGCACGTGAACCAAGTATACGCGCACGTAATCTGTTCGTTGGCACTGCACATTCTTGTTCACAGTGACGTCACACTTCGGTATATAAAGTACCAGATCCCCAGCACCTTTTGAACGTGTGAAGTTTTGCTGTAGTACGCAATCTGGTGTGTCAACACACGCTAATGCCAATATCATTTTGGACGATTCAAGCAAGATCAACCGCATGCTACCAAACTGTATTGTGCACGAACGACTGATCTGAATTCAACTCCATTCAAGGGTTCTGCCAATCCCAGTCATCGACTAGAACAAGGGAAGATGATTTAGAACATCATCGGTTACACTCAGCATGCACTTGCAGAAGAATCTGTAGCAAAGTTCGAGCTATCATTGGTACCTTGGAAAGATTAGACCGTGCTGGTAACGATCCAACCACCCCTAGTAAAACCGAGGTAATATTTCTTTCATATCCCCTAAGCAGGCATTTCGACGCCCGTCATTGCATCCTAAAGACGATGTTACGTATAGACGCCAGGGAAAACAAGCAGAAGCATGCCCGTGAATAGTTACATGGCACTATTTTAACACTGCTGCTCTACTGATTCGCTTTCGTACCCCTCGGCAACGAAGCCCCGACCAGGTGGAGACTAGAAATTTGGTATTTCGTGACCGACATATTGTTACAGGCCAGGCTGCGCATACGAGCGGAGCCGAGTGGGTGCCGTAATACGAGAATAATTTGAGTCCAAACACGTAAGATGCTTCGCCGATTTAATCTATACTGAAGCTTTAAGCGACATCGACACTGGGAAATAATTTCATGTGATCCCACCGCTGCCACCAGGGAATAAAGTTGGAACTGGTGCCCAGCGGCAGCAGTAATGCGCTATTCAGGACATCCAACAACTTTACTTTCAGACATGCTATCAATGCCAATTAAAAAACAAATAAGATTGAAAACAGACACATATACAACACGATGGAGTTTTGTTCATTTCTCAGAAATTGCTGTGTTGCTTTGAAAGTTTGAAAGTAACGAAATTATAATAACACCTGTAGATAAGTGTATTCAGCTGTTGAATTCTTCAGTTCCTTCAAACCACACTGTAAAACAAGCATCGTCGCCACTCAGCTAAGATCAGTCCATTTGCTTCATTTTATAATCAGATTTGAAGTCATGAGGGAGACATTAAGGAGACATATTCAAGTTAAGAGGAAATGCGCTCCTCGCATGCCAAACTGCTTCTCCTTTACAGGGTGACACGGTGTGGGCGGTGAGCCAGGGAGTCCTGTCACCTCCTTAAAACTGCACTCTACATCGTGTCGTGTATCGGTGATAACACGAAGACGCCTGTGCTTGCATGTATCAAGTAAATGACACAGGATTGAGTCTCGCCTGACGTATCCATCAATACCTGTCTACACTGTATGGCGCCAGCACAAACCCATCCCGAAAGAAAAAAAAATGGACAGAAAAAAAGAGATACCCTTTTAATGGACGTGAGCGAAGGAGCGAGGGAAGTCAAAATACAGATAATGGCTGGATTGGGAAATTCGATCAGTGGTGTCGATAATAGACGTTTATAGGTAAGCACTACACCAGTGATCGAGCGCTTATGCATGTCCGTGTTCAACAACGCCATTTGTGAAGTTCCCTCCGCTGAACATAACGGGAAAAGTGCAGACGACTTGTGAAGAAAGAATCTTTCTAATGGCCCTCTCAAGCCCAATCTTAGTATCGAGACTATGGTATCAAAGGCACCAATATAATTTGACTGACTCTCTCATGTTAAAAGATGGCGTTAACTTTCCTCGTACTTTTCATAAGTGCTATGTACAACCAAAGAGAAAAGCTACACGTATCTTAAAAGCTGGTGTCCTTTGCATACGTGAGAACAGTGACTGGATCATCCGTTATTGGTTAAGTATCACAGCCAATAGCGTAATAAAGATGGCGAAATTGCTATACATTGAATGGCTCGTTAAGTTTAAATATGGATGGCTCGCAAATTCGCATGATTCTACACACAACTCGAGATAGGCCTAATTGAAGTCTCTTCTGAACAGACAGGTCCAGTTGACGAACAAGGGAAGCAGCCCATAGACATAATACCAATTCTTTGAGAATGAAAAGTGCAGTACCATCACACTTATAACTTCCCTCAAACAAGGCTTTTCCTTAAGCTTGATTATTCTACTAAACGTTTGGAAGGCTCGTGAAAAGCACAGCTATGCCTACCTTAGATACTGTGACGAGCTAACGACAACATGAGCCTTGAAAGTCCTAAAGCATGTGCAACATTCGACAAAATGCCTCCCTCGACAGGACTATATTTGAACACGCAGCTTTGATGTGCGACCATGTGCCTCATCGCTACTGGCGCACAATGTCACAGATGATAACGAATAACGATTGGGATTTGGCACGAGTTACATGCAATCGTACGATCGATAGAGAAATCATGCCAACACAAGGCACCTGAAACATGTTTAGTTATAAATGTGTCGCGGAGCACGTGCACCCGTGACACGACCGTTCGATCATTAATCAGCATGTCTGCAAACCTGTTCTGTCAGAGAGTTTTATTCCCACAATTCGTGCTCGGTTAATTTAACAACTATTACAAGAAAGTGCTTAATGAGTGTTCTCTCCAAATTGGCACAGAGGTGTGACCTGTGGTCAATAAAGACCAAACTATGCAGCAAGGAGATGGATCAAGTTGGAGTTAGATCTTCAACTTAAAAGAAGACAAATTTGACTCATTTTCATTTCGTCCTCAACTGACAGGTTATAGCTGTCATTAACTCCGCTCTACACTCCACCTCGTAATGTAAAAAATGTCTCACTAGAAATCAAAGGGAGCCATTACAGCAGACTTCGCACTTTGTACATCAATGCACACAGTCATGTCCCACTTTGCAGCTTTCTTAGTCCGTAGACGGTATAAGCCAATGTGACGGGAGTGCTTTAGTTCGTCCATGAAAACGAGGTTCCGGCACGAAGGCTTTTAAGCTGCCTTAAAGGAGCCCGTGACGCAAATTGTACCTGGAACACACGTTGTGAATCTTTCTCTTTCTCTTAAATGAGTGGAAACTTCATGGCATCGCGTTTGGTCAACCTTACTCAAGAGTAAGCCTCGAATTTTAATGAAGTGTTCTACTCAGGATTTTGAGCACTTTCTCATGGAAAGCTCACTGATCACTGAAACAAAAACACCTACTAATTTCTATATATACCATTTGCAACTCT